AAATAGAATTGATGCTGTATTCATTAGATCAAATTTTTATAGTTGTAAAAAAATATGTAATGTAGCTTATTTCTTGTTTAATTGGAAAAATAAAATATTTTTAATGTAGTAATCACTGATGTAATACTTTGTTTACTCATTGGTCATGAGATGATCTGCTAATCAGGTTTTGTGTAGCAACCAAGCCATAGTTATTATTCCAATATTTTTTATAAAAGGATTTTTCACTATGTAAAAATATGTTGACTTTCAATTACGCAGTTATATTTATTAAATGAGAAACTTAATTGCATCACTGAAGGAAAATAAAACCAGAAGGTCTTGATTATTTATGCAGAATGCAAAAGCTCCTACTATACGAATAAAAGAAAATGAAAGATGTCTGAAGCATTTGAGGGTGATTTCGATTACCTCTATGGGATTATAGCAACAGGTAAGACTGGGGATTTAACTCTTATTTATATTAACCACGGATTAGTACTTCATCATGTATATGGCAGAGAAGATTTATTGCATGAAAGTCAATTATCATATTGCTCTTACCAAAGATATTTTAGATAATGATTTAAGGGGTAAAGAAAATTATGGAAATTATCGTGGGTTTGTTGAAGGATAGGATAGAGGTTGATGACTTTCCTGCTAGTAAGAAAGCAAGAACAGAAAATATATTAAGGAATAGCCAGTTGTAAGGTATTTGTATATTAGCATAGTCTTCATGTATTCTGAGCTATGTTCTGAACATTTGTATTTATTTTTGCATGTATTAATAAAAAATTTTCTTGGCAAAAAACCATTGGCAAAACCCGTTAATAAGTTAACAGATTTCAGCATAACCTATATATTTTACTGAAGGCTTATTACTCTCTTATGTAAAAAAAATATATTATAAACCATTGTCAGTTACCCATCAGAGCTTGATTTATTAAAGATTAAAATGTGTAATAATACTCGTTTCACTCAAAAAGACTCCAACCTTTTCTAAGATCAGATAATGTTTCCAAAAGCATATTATATTCTATAATTCTAAATGCAGTAAATTTAGAAAATGTATTAAATAATTTATCCTTTACCTGTTCAGAAACATTCAGAAGGCGTCTGATGAATTCCTTAAGAATAATATTATGTTAATGAGTTAATTGGGCTTAAAGAAGTTTATTCTATACTTCTCTTTTAAAATGGGTTATATAATCATATCTGGTATATGGTTTATTACAATCCCACCAATCATTGATATCATCAACTTTTTCAATATTATCATCTTCTTCAATATCATCATCAACTGTCCAGAATTCATCATTATCATTAGTATCATCATCACCTATCTTAATCTCATCATATTCTCCATTCAGATTTTTACTGACACTAAGGTTAGAATCGATTAATAAGTTTTATTCCATATCTAGAGAGATATTTACTAAAATATACTTATTTTTCTAATACTTCATTACCTATAAGCAGGGTTAGGAATTTTGTATATACTAGATAAAATTACCACTGTACTTATACTGTACTTGTACTAATTTTTATATTAATTATTATAATGTACTAACTGTACTAATCATTGTACTAATACTGTATTTCCCAATCTTGCCTATAAGTAGTATTGGTCAGTAGAATTAAAATTATTGTTGAAAGTTATATGTTACGTATAAATTATCACTCGAAATATGCAGTAAGATATCTGTTAAAAAATTCTTATCAAATTAATAAGATTTTTGATTCTACAATATATACAACTTAGTCCCAACCAATAAATTTAATAAAATTCAAATTGCTACTCCTCACTAAAAAAAAAATAATAAATATTAAATCTTTTTATAGAATGATAGAACTATCTAAGGAAAACAAAACTAGAGATACAAATTTACTGTAAAATGATTTTTGGTGAAATAGTAGCAATTTATAATTTTATTATTAGACTGATATTTTTGATTATGCTTACATATTATCACTCATAAGAAGACTTTCTTCTAATATGTTGAAAAAATTAATCATCATTTCTATAATAAGTACAATTGACAAAAAAATTATCCAATAATAAAACAATTAAATATATAACAATTATAGTTGTACAATCCATAACAAGTTAAGAAAAAGAATTTCAATATATAGAGAACATATATAGAACTAATAAAATTACAAATAATATAATAATATAATAACTAATTATAGAAATTCTGATATAGATGTTTATTTTATTATATATTTCATAAAAGTAATGAAAAGCAACGAAAGACAAATATTAAAATATAATAAATTATTGGTTTTATCTTTTCATATTTTAAAAAAGTATATAGATTTCTTTATTTTTTAATATAAATTTGTAACTCTTTACTAAAAATTTTTAAAACAAGTTTTATAACAATATAAAGAACTTTAAGCTTCGTATTATAGAAATGCTACCTATAAGTACACTCTTTTAAACTGAGATTATTTTGGATTATTTTTGTAGGCAGTTAGTTAGCATTCTAAAGAAGCAACAGTAAGATTTTTTTTTTACTTAATGTAACTCCATTTTCTGAAAAAGTACTTTAAACTGTATAAATAATACCTGATTTAAATTGATCTGTAATAGCTAATCATATGAAAGTCTTTCTATGATATTATCGCATGATCAAAATTCTCATTATTAATTGGCTGATTTATGTTTCGTAATACTAGATTAAAAGTTAAAATCATAAAAAAAAATATTTTTTCATATTTGAAAAATAAATGAAAATTTTAAAACTGCTAAAGATAAGTATTTATTTTAATTGTTATTATTAATATGTATGTATTCATACATATTTACTAATTTTTTACTTTAATTGCCTAAATATTAAAATTAAATCAGAAACTTAACAATGTGAATGATATTTTTTAATTGCAAATTCTGCAGTCTGACCTTTTAAGCTTTTTTAGTATACATCTATATAAAAGAATACTTTTATTTATACTGACAAATAATTGTAAATGAAACGAAAGCAAGAGCTAATAGAAATATTTTTTACAATCCCGTTCATGAATATGATTGACTAAATTTCTTGGCTACATCCTAAAGTTCTCAATATAATTGAGTTTACAATAAATTTAGGATAAAATATAATTTGATATTCAGTTGCAATAATAACCTTTTTTAGTCGACTCTTTTATATTAAAAAGTCTGATTGCTAGCCTATTATTTTTTGTATTTCTTTCAATTTCAAACCCTCATTTGATCACAATCCCATTTCTGTTAGAGCTTATTTAACCCTTTTGGTTAAAAATATGATAATTTAGTAGAAAAACTATTTTTTATTATATTCCTTCATCAAAATATATGTTGTATAGTAAACTCTTGATATAACAAATTTATTATCTAAATATCAACTTTATTATAAGCTTATAACGAATTTTTTAAAGAATTTAATTAGCTAGTTCATTATAGTAAGATAATTTTTATATATTTGAAGGGTTTGCTATATCAAGGTTTGATTGTATATCTTCAGCTGCTTTCTTTTAGAGCTAAGATTCATATGTTTGGTAATAAGTGCATTTGATGAAAAATTAGCATGACTTGATGTATTATTAAATATAAATAATGCTTGATATCTCAGAAAGTATGCTTTAAATATAAGAATAACATGTTCAATTACTTGGTTTATCAAATCTTCAGCCTTTCACCATCTATCATTGTTTTTGTTTAAATGAATAATAATATAAACCTCTTTAGGTAAATTATTTGATACTTGTATTTCACTAAAAAGTGCAAGATACCTACAGATATTTTTTAAAAAATTGCTAACATTAATTGAGTAACCATTACCCTTTTTCTTAAGGATTGTTCTCCATTAAGAATCCAAAGATTCTGATTTTCATCATAAGCTAAGAAAATACATTCATCATATGTAATAAGAATAAGTAGATTTTCAGATCAGATTATTTCAGTAGTATAGAAATAGGCTTTTTGGCACATTTCGATCAAATGGGACCTTTGCAATAGAAAGGGGGGAAACAGCCGAAAAAATCAAAAGTGAGTTAATGCTAAATTTGAATATATTTCAGTATAAAAATCATATTTGGCATATAAAGTAAAATTAATTTTTCCCGGCAGTTTCCCCCTTTCTATTGTAAAGGCCCCAAATGGTCCCAGGATGCTTTCCTGAGTATTAAAAATTTATTCATATAGTGTAAACTCATTGCAAATATGTATGTGACCTTAAGAAAACAAATTTGCTTTCCTGATTGTTATTTGCTCTGTAAACATTTTTTTCTATATAAAAAAATAAATTTTTACTTTGGCACAAATAAGCCCAAAACCTATTTAGTTTCATCCTGAATAGCATAAATTTTTCATATACATTATAATCAAATTGCCTCCCAATAGCATACTGCTTAGGTAGCAAGAGAGAACAAGAATGAGAAGAAGCAGAATGATGATAAATGCGCGTTCGATAGGAGAAAAAATATAGCAGAAATATGAGCAAAGCCCTTTATGGTAAAGCGAATATGAATGCTATATTTTTTTGACCCTATACTACCATATTCTAATGTATGCTATATATGAGACAAATAATATTTACAGGATTGTGGAGCAAAGCAGAACATGTATCTAAAACATAAAAAAATCATGTAATACAAATGCATTCAAATTGGATTCCCATTACTAATCTATTACTAGCCTAGCAATAGCCTGAATTTTTGCAAACTTTCGCTGTTGATAAAATTCTCGAATACAATAATTACCTGCATGTTTTTTACAAGCACTATAAACAGAAGAAGTTAATTTTCCGCATTTTATACAGGGAACCCGCTTAGGAGATTTCTAATGAATTTTACATCCTTCTGGCTGATAGCACCCCTCATTTCACACTTCTCTAGTCCTAAGAACATACAGACAATTATAAAATCCCATTCTAATAGTCTCTTCTTTTTGAATAAATATGTAACTCTAATTATCTGAATAAATTAATTTTTATTTTAAACTTTTTGTAACTATATATAATCTTTAGAAAAAAATGAGCGGATTACTTAGTAGTATAACTGGTGTATTAGGGTGATTATTCGGAAATTTTTAGAAAGATCTGACACCACCTGAGTTACCTGAGCCTTCTGAATTACCAGTACCAAAGAAGAGCTGGAGGTGGAGTCAGAAGAGGAGAGCGAATATGAGACCGCTGATGAAGGAGAAACATTAGATTCTGAATCTGAAGCTGATAACGAGTTCAAATCAAAAAAAAAAGACAAAATAATATTTTGAAAAATAGAAGATCCAGATCTGAAAAGGTTAGTAGAAACTAGAAGAATTTTCAACCAAGGTTTATATGTTGATCATCTTGCTATTATTCCAGAAACTTATCTATATTGAGAAGATCTCTTAGCCATGTTCAAGGATGCTGAAGATCAAATTAGCGATGTTTATAGAAGAGAATTAGCTCGATTAGGAGGTATTAAAATAAAAATAGTCCTTATTACTCATATGTATCAAGGAGGATATTTTAGACACTGATTAGATCAAGACATAGTGTTTCCAAGTAAAATTTTAGATATTATTCGCCAGGATCGAATAGACCAAACAGTTTCATGCCAATATAATGAAATTTTAGATAAAATCAATGAAATGGAACGTAATCAGCACTCGGGTTGGTTTTATGAATATGGAAAAAGATATTTTTGGAAATAAGTGTACACCAGCTACTTTGAGGCAGTTTGCATTTTGCTTTACTAAAAATATGGGTTAAGCCTCAGTTAAGGATAATTAATTCGCAAAATACAGATGAAAAATGTTTCAAAGAATGTATGAAATGTTATTTAGCAAGTGAAGAAGCCCGTAAAGAGGAGCGCAGAGCAAGAAATCTTCATAATGTTAGTAGATTACGGCGCTTTGAAAATGTATTAGATTTCTCTGGTACAAATTTTCTCGCTATATTGCATGATATCAATATATTCGAAGAAATAATCCAATTTATGTAGTAAATATATTCTATCCTGTATTTGCAAAAATAACAAAGAGCAATTGTTTGCCAAATTAGACCCACTTCACATATCAGAATATAATTATAAAAGAGAGCATATGGGTTAGTACGTACAAAAATCATGCTGCGGGACTATATAAATCATATGATCAAAACCTGATTTTTGTACGTACTA